GGTTCATTTAAAATTTTTTAGTATTCCATTTTACTTCCTACATTAACTTTTTAGCTCTGTATCATTTATAGTTTTAAAATTGATATTCCTGGGATGACAATATGCATCCTTAACTCACTATAGTTCTATTTAAAATTAATATACCATTTTTATATTTAATGCAAGAACATAAAAACAGTAAAATTCCATTTCTTACCCATCCTTGATAGTATTTGTTGTCATAAATTTTACGTCTGTTATATTTTACTCCAAAATACAGTGTTATTTTTGTTTTAAGCAATCAGTATTCCTTTGATAAATTGAGAAGAAAAAAATACAGTTTTTTGTTTACCCAAATATTTTCCATTTCCAGTATTTTTTTGTGTCTTCCTATGAATTTGAGTTTTCCTCTGTATCGTTTCCCTTCAGCCTGAAGAAAGTCTTTTAGCATTTCTTTACTACAGGTCAACTGGGGATAAATGATCTCGGCTTTTGCTTATGGTCTGTCCATTCTGGCTGGACCAGAACTCCATCTCCCAGCTCTGTCCAACCTGTGCTATCTCTGTTCAACTCTTAGCCCCACAGCAGTGACTCCGCTGGGCCGCAGGGAGTCCGCATATGCAGCCGTCGTCTGAGACCCGAGATAACCTCAGTAAAATTCCGGGTATTCCCCTCTGCTTACCGCCCTCCTTTCCAGTGCCCTGCCCCTACATCCCAGCGCCTGCAGCGTCCTGAACTGCAGTCTTCGCCTCCTCCACTCAGTGAGATTACCATGCTCTGCTTGGCCTCCCTCCCTCTCACTGTCCAGAGAGTACTGCCAGGCGGAAAGCACTCACCTCGCAGGTTTCCCATCTCTCAAACAACAGAATCTACATTGCCTGTTACATCACCTGAAAACAGTTGCCACGTACATTTTGTCTAGTTTTGTAATGTATGGCTGGAGGGCGGGTCCAGGACCTGTGACTCTGTCATAGCTAGAAGTCGAATTCTTTGTTTTGAGTGATGTGTCTCATGTGCCAAATGCCAGGGGAGCAAAATCCTCCAGCGCCGAGCTTCGGGCCTCCTGGCTTTGCCAGTATGTAGCCCTTAGCGGCTGTTGATCAGTTGTCCTAGTGGTGCTTTTGCAGGATTTGGTGTCATTAATAGTGAGCAGGCAGGCCTAGGCCTAGGCAGAGGTGACAAAGCAGTGGTTCCCAAAACTATCTACCTGTCTAATTCATCTAGAACACTGGTTTAGAATTCTGTTTCCTGGGACCCACCCAGACCTGCTCAGTCAGCCTTAGGGGCTGGGCCTTGTTTTTACTTTCTTTTTTTTTTTCTTTTTAAATTTTTTTTGGCCATTTCCACTCAAGGGAAGGCCCTTGTTTTTAAATGAGGATTGGTGTAGAATAGCCTGGCTGGTCGGCATGCACTAAATAGGCTCTCATAGACGCCCCTAATCAGTGGTGTTAATCTGATGTCGAATGAATAAAAAACTAGGGTCTCAGAGTTTGGTGGGTTTTTGGCTATGGGCTGCTTTCTTTCCCTTTCTCTATCTTTTCTCCCTTATCTGACACAATAGCACAGTATAAGAGAAAAAACCCAATTATTTGGAACTGTTCGTTCCATTGGCATTTTTTGTTTAAGTGCATTACACATTTTTCTTTTTTTTCCTTTTAGGGAGACGTTAGAGAAGCAAGTATTTGCTGTCTGGTGGCAGAAGATGTTTGTGCATCGAGAAGACCGCTTGGCGGAGAGAATGGTAAATGGCTCTCCCTGAGGATGTGCCTAGAGGGGCAGGACCGTTCAAGCCCTTGCACTCATTCTTCTCCTACTCAGGAAGCCGCACAGAACCCAGACCCGCACTGAAGGGCTTCTGCCTGGGACTCAGGAGGCAGAGGCGGGCTCTGGGGCATCTGTGTCCTGCGTCCGTGGAGTTTATGGATGGCTTCTGGGCCAGGGCACCTCCTGAATGTTCATTTCTTTTGCCTTGGTCGTTATTCATGGCCTGTAGAGTCTTTCCTGGCTTCTGTACCCTCCTTCTACTTGACTTCTTCTGTTCTTTGCTTCCCACCTTGCCTCAGGCCATCCTTCAAGCAGAGCGGCAGCTTCTGCGTAGGTCGTGGTCCACGTGGTGCCAGCAGGCAGCAGCACGTCACCAGGAGCTGGAGCGGCAAATGGTGGCCTGCGCCCACCACTGCCACAGGAGGCTCAGGAAGGCCTTCTGCATCTGGAGGGAAGGTGCCCAAGGGCTCAGAACAGAGTAAGTGGCCAGTTCTTGCCTCAAAATTCCTTCCCGCCCCAGGCCAGCTTTGACTGGACTGGTAGCACCGTCAGCTCCAAGTGCCCGTCCAAAGGTTGCATTAGCAGGGAATGTGGTTGTAGGCTCTAGAAATTCAACCTGAAAGAGTCTAAGCAAAACCAGGCTGTAGTGACAGGATGTTGGGATACCTCATGGAGCTCCCAGTCACAGGAACTTGGGCAGGGACAGAAGTGCTCTGTGGATCCAGGAGGTTCTGTCCATCGGCTATATCCTGCTTACTAACTGGGGCCCATTTGAAAGGACCAAAGCCAGATAATAGACCAACGGGGCCCATGTTGGGATAGCTGACCACCCTGGGACCAGCAGCTGTGGCCAGTAGGTCATGGTTACAGGGGGCGGGACAGACAGCCCATGTGTCCACTGCAGAGACCGTCCTGCTTTGAAACCTTTCTGTACCCGCTGTGTTCGGAGGATCTCCCTCCCTCTCAAACTCTGGCCACAGTTGACCTCCTCCTCAGTGGGAGGCTCCAGCGTGCCCGCACAAGTGTGCTTCAGTGGTACTTGAGGCCCTGTGAAGTTGCAGGCAAAAACTTGATTGTATGTGCACTTTTCCGGGAGAGAGCACAAGTCCCTTGGCAGCTCTTCAGAGAGAGTCTTGACTCCCCCCAATCTTAACAACCAGGTAGGGCCCAGGGACTATGACGAGGAACCCAGGGACAGCAGCCTCACTGGCTCTGGGCTGCTGTGCTGAGCCCACCGTCTCCCCACAGGAGGACAGGCAGGGCGCAGGCAGCAGAGTTCCACTCCGCACGGCTCTTGTGTTGGGCCTGGAACCGGTGGAGGGAGGTAAGGCTTTGGCGTGGATGCCGTCTGATTGTGGCTTTTGGACAGGTGGGGCTGTGTGTCGGCATGACTCCGAGCGGTCGTGGGCTACTCAGCCATCCCTTGGAAACCACTTGCCTCTGAGCGGGAGACCAGGAAGCTAATGAGGAAGTATTAACTCAGTTTTGTGAAATGATTGGCTCCCTATTGTTTTGGGTGCTAGGCTGTTCTTATCTGAACTTACTGAACCTAAAATTCCTGGTTTACAGAAATCCTACTGAGGGTAAAAAAAATGATGACGTTAATTGAGCATTTACTGTAAATGAGGCCCTTGCCTCATTTGATCCTCACAAGACCCCTAAGAAGTGCGCGTGTGTAGATGAGGACGGGGAGACTCGGGTTAAGCACCTTACACTCAGGCAGACGGAGTGTGTGTGGAGGCACAGCGGGAAGCTGCCCCCAACCCCACCCCAGCCCACAGTGGCCGCTGCTGCTCTGTCCGCAGAGCCTGGCCCTGCGGGGAGCCGAGCGACAGAAGCAGGTGCTCGCAGACCGGCATCACCAGCGCTGCTTGCTGCACAGGGCGCTGCAGACCTGGCTGGTAGGAGCCGCTTCTTCCTCTAGAACTTGCTGTGGGGCAGGAAAGGTTTCTGGAGACTTTGTTTCCCTTCCTCGTCCCTCCTACCCCTCCCAGAGTAATTAGACAAGTGTCAGGGCAAGTGCCCTACACATGGGCCACAGGTTTCTCTGGTCCTTGCTCAGCAGAGTGAAAACACGTGCTGTCCGTGGGCTCCAGCCTTACAGTAAAAGTGGCTCCTTGGCCAGGAGCCAGTGGTTTGGCCTATTCAGTGAGGGCCTAGCGAGACAGTCTTCTCCCTGTTGTTGGGCAGGGTCTGCTGGCCTTGGGACTGGGGTCTTTTGGTCTTTCCCCGCCCTTTGTTCAGTGCTCCGGGCACGGCAGCCCCTGTTGTAACACCTCTGAGGCCCTCCTGGACAGGGAGAAGTGTGGGCCCAGGCGCGGCCTCCAGCCCTCCCCATCCCCCACAGACTTACCAGAGCAGGGTGCGGCGTGTCCTACAGGAGGTGGCAGCCAGGGAGAGCCAGCACGACCGGCAGCTGCTGCGGTGAGTCTCCCAAGTGTCTCCCAGGGCCCAGGCTGAGGAATGAGGAACAGACTCCAGACCCCAGGTTTTGGGGATTCCTGCTTAGGGCCAGGTGGGGGACAGGCCCGGTGCCTCGTACTTTTCATGTCTTGACTTTGGCTTCTTCATGGCAAGCGCTTCATTCACTATTCACCTCAGCTTGTCTTAAACCTCTGCTGTGTGCAGGGCGGGCCGTGGGAAGGAGCTCTCGGCTGGATGCCTGCGAGACCACCGGCCTCGCTGCTCCGGGCGCCTTTCCCTCCCTGCTGCCCACCTGCAAGATTCAGCTGTCTGAGGCACCTTTGCACCTCCTCTCCCACTGCGGAGGCTGTGGCAGCTTCCTTTCCCATCCGTTCCCAGGCCATCCAGAGTCACCTCTAAGCCCTGAAGGACCATTGGCGTCTCTCACCGGTGGCGAGCACTGCACAGCCCCCTCCATTCCTTCCCAGCGAGCTCTAAACTCGCCCCTTCCCGGCAGGCCTCCGCGTTTCTTTTCCTTCCTGTGTATTTCTTCAGCACGTGCAATTCCATGCAGCCTGTGGGCAGTGGGCCTCAGGGACTTTAAATGCCTCCACCCTCCTCTGGGGTCCCCTAGAGCCCCATCTAGCTTTTCAGACAGTGGAATAAGAGAGACAGACTCCCTGAGCTAACTCAGCCGTCGCCCAGGCCCAGGCCCCCTCCCTCGGCTTCCCTGTCTCTCCGCGCTTCTCCCATCACAGCGTGAACCACCTGTGCTGTCATTGCCTGGCTACGCCCTGTCCCCACAGCACACCCACTCCTGAGGACCTGGCGTTTGGCCTCAGACACTGCTGTGTCCCTCGCGCTCACCCAGTGCCCGGCCCTGAGCAGCTGCTCAGTAGCCATTTGTTGGACGTAGACGCCGGTGTGAATGTCAACATGGGCGTCGGTGAAGCAGATGTGCTTAGACGCAGATGGTCCCTGACTGGGCGTGGGGCGGAACCAGGACTGACCCACAGAGCCTCCTGTCTCTCTCCATCCCGGTGTCACCTGCCCTCACCTGCAGGGGTGTGTTACGTTGCTGGAAGGAGAACACTGTGGCCCGTGTGGATGAAGCCAGGAAAACCTCCCAAGCCCGTGCTCACTACAGAAGGACCGTGTGTTCCAAGGTGAGGTGCAGGGAGGCAGGCTGGTCACCCGGGAGGGCTGGGGATGGTGTTCGGGTGGTGGCGGGTGGTGCACATGTACATACATCCACATGGGCAGGTGTTTGGTTTTTTTACTGAATTATATGAACCAACGTGTGTTCAAATGAACACATGGCACATAGGGAACTAGTTCTTATCAGAACCAGTGTCTTCTACACACATGGGCTTGTTCACTGTGACCAACCGAGTAAGTCTCTGAGCTTCAGTCTCCTCGTCTGTGCAGAGAAGATACTCGCTCCTGCCCATCCGCCCGCCTTGCGGGCTCTGTGCCGCAGAGGCTTTCTGGAAGGCACAGAGCGTCCTGGGAACGTTAGGTCCTTGGTCATCTTCAGTGAGAAATGTCTCCAAACCACCACCCGTTCCCCTGACTGGGATGGTTGTGGGGATTGCCATGTGGCGGGACTGGTCCCATGCGCTGGGGACGGGAGGGATGGCAGGATGTGGCTGTGGGAAGAAAACGTGTGGGAGAAAGGGGATTCAGACAGAAAGGAAGTAACAGAGGTAGTTCCTGAACTTGGGATGTTTTAGAAGAAAGGGGTTTGCTGGGAGAGCTGAGCAGCAAAGGTTCGCCTCCTGGAAGGCCTCCTGCCAACCCCGAAGCTTCCAGTGGAGGAAGAGCAATTGCATCTGGTCAAGGCCCGGTCTGTTCTCGGGAAAACTCCGAGGCCTCCCCTGTCCTGGAAGGAAGAGGACAGAGTCTTTGCTTGGTTTCAAAGACTGGAAGGGAGGAAGCATTTTTGTTGGGAACAGAGTTCATAACTCCTTGAGGAGCAGGCACCAGGCTTCCCCTGGCTGCCTGACTTCTTTTTAAAGTGTTTTAAGTGTTTTATTTTTGTGATCTCTCTTCTCTTCTTTTTTTTTTTTTTTCTCTCTCTCTTTTTTTGTAGAGACAGGGTCTCACTATGTTGCCCAGGCTGGTCTTGACCTCCTGGCCTCAAGTGATCCTCCACCTCTGCCTCCCAAAGTGCTGGGATTACAGGCATGAGCCACCACCCCCAGCCTTGTTTTTGTGATTTCATATGTTATCTCTCATAGTTATCTCCCATACAAGAGTACATGCAGTGTATGCGTTCCACTTAACAAATAATAATAGCATCACAGCCCGCATAATGACAATTTCCCTAAGGCACGGTATGAAGTTTAAGTCCTGGTAGAAAAGTCCCAGTGCCTGAGATACTGGGTTTCCTGTGAGGCACTGGGGCTCCCCCATTGCCCGGTGGTCTGCATGGATGGCAGGTGCTTCTTGAAGCACGTAGAGTCGAACATCAACCCCTCAGCCTCACCTCACACGGAGCTGCCATCACAGACCTGGGCTGTCCCGGAAATCAGGAGGTGTAGTGACCCCTGCTCCTTGCCCACCCGTAGGCCCTGGTCCAGTGGCGGGAGACTGCATCAGTGCAGATTTACTACCGACAGCAGGAGGATTGTGCCGTCAGGGAGGCCCGGAAGGTGTTGGACAGGGGTAAGCAGGGCCCCAAAGCAAGTGGTTGGGGAGGAGACCACGAAGACATGGCTGTCTGGGAGATCCCTGTGCTCCCCTGCGGTCTCTGTCTCTTCCTCATGTGGCTGGTTCCCTGGGGCTGCCATGACAAAGACTATTCTCTTAGTTCTGGAGGCCAGAAGTCCAAAGTCAAGGTGTGGGCAGGGCTGTGCTCCTGCCAGAGGCTCTAGGGGAGGGAGGATCCTTCCTCACCTCTTCCAGTTCGTTGCTGCCAATGCTTGGCTTTCCTGGGCTTGTAGACACATCACTCCAATCTCTGCCTCCGTCTTCACAAGATGTTCTCTTCCTGTGTCCCTGGGGCCCTTCTTATAAGGACCCACCCTCCGTCAGTAGGACAGCATCCTGACTGCGTCTGCACTGAGCCCGTTTCCAAGTAAGGTCCACGTTCCCAGCTTCCAGGAAGGACATGAATGAGTTGCGGGAGGGGGCACTGTTCAATCCAGGACATCACAGAAACCTGTTCCTGACTCATTGCCAACCACTTTATGTTAACGTGAAAGGCCAAGGCTTGAGAACGATGGAGAACTTAAGGAATGAACCTGGAATGGAGGAGTCCGGGTGGGTGGGGAGAGGGCGTTGATGGGAAAGGCCTTGCTGCTTGTCAGGTCAGCCCGCGTCGCGTTAGGGTCCTGCTTCCTTGCACAGCTGGGCCCTGCATGTGCAGAGAGCAGACACTTGCCCAGTCAGCCTCAGGAAGTCCCCTACCGCTGTGTAAACGTCTTCGGAAAGACAGTCCGGAACAGGAGTCGGTGCCTCTGCTCACGAGGTGCAAACACACAAAAGACCCAGGGGATGGGGCGGGGGTCTCCTAGCACAGCCTGGGGCCCACGTGGGGGAATCCGACATTCTGCAGAGGATGCAGAACAGTTGGAACAAATGAAAATACAAATGAAAGTGAAAACAAATGGTTTAGATGTGGTTTAATACCAAGAAGAGGAAGCCTGAAAGAAAGACAAACAAAAAATAGATATGGTTTAAGTTGGACTATAGAGAAAATCAATCCAGTTGTTAAATTGGCATAATAGAGTTTATTCCAGGATAAAAATTAGTCAACTTTGGTTTGGTTCTGACTCTAGCGTGTGTGTTGATGAGCACACATCGTCCTGACGTCCTTGGACAACACTCGGGGGTCAGACATCCTGCCTGCTCCACCACGAATGTGCCCCTTGGTCCTTGCTGCTCCTCAGCTCGGAGCCAGCGCCGTTTCTAGCTCACGCCTGAGAAGGAAGCCGAGGGGTCATCCACCCCTTGGTCTCTGTACGGGCAGAGCTTCTGCACCTGGCACTGCAGGGGCTTCTGGCCAGTGTGGGGCAGCTGCCATATAGGTCAAGTGCCCGCTCCTGGCCGTGGGGGTAAGTTAGAGGTGACAGGTTTGAGGTACAGCCTGAAACTCCTCCTCTGTGAAGGATTTTCCTTAGAAGGGGGTGGTGGCATGTGGCAGGCCTGGGCTGGCCGTGTCTGTTATAGGTGGTACAAGGGACTTGGGAGACTGGGCGGCAAGACGCTGTGCACACAGTAGGTGCACACACCTGTGGGATGATTTCTTGGCTTACATTAAGGCATCAGAGACTCAGGTACACCTTGGCAGTCCAAGGGCGGAGCTGCCTCTTCCTCCTCTAAGCTCCAGCTCAGGCGAGGCCCCTTTCTCCCTCAGAGGAGGGTCTTCATGTGCCCGGCAGCATCTTGCATGTGGCTCTGCAGGGACCCCCTGGCATGCCTGTGGTGGCTGTGGACGGGCTGGTAGCTCCGGGAGGGACACTGGGGAGCACAACAGTGCGTAGCAGATCTGGTTCATGGCCCCAGGGCACTCGCAGTCGCTGAAGGTGGCCAGAGCTGTCCTTAGAGAGGGGCCACCAAGTGGGCACCTATGGAGTCTTCTAGACACCCCCTGCCTGTGCGGGAGGCCCTTGGCCTCACCCAGGACTCCTGGCGTTGGGAGGACACCAAGTGGAGGCTGGACACCCCAACTCCATCCCCACACAACCTTCTCCGCTGCCTGAACATTCGCCATGACGTAGTCGCCTGTGGAATCCTACAGAAGGGCAGGCTCTGGCTTGGGTCTGCCTCAGGCTGTCTCCGGACCTGGTTTCGGCGCTGGCGGGACCACAGCCAGAGGGCGGCGCAGCAGAGAGTCCGGCTGGAGAGGGCGGCGCGGCACCACCGCCGGCAGCTGCTGCTGGGGGGCATGGCCCGATGGAAGACGCACCATCTGGGGTGTGTCAGGAAAAGGGTGAGGCAGGAGGCGGCAGCTTTCTAAGCTCCCCCTGTATGGCACGGGGTGTCCAGGCCAGGAGACACCTCTCAGGAAGGGGTCTCTCCTGACAGAACTCGGGGCAGCTGCTACGGGTGGTGGGTGGCTTGGGGTCCCGCGGGAACAAAGCTGCAGGACCCTTTCTGGGTGTTCATTGGAGACTGGGGGTAGCCAGCCTCAGAATCGGGTCTCCTGGGGGAAGATGGCTCAGCAGGGAAACCTGGTTCACGCTGACCCATGGCTTGTCAGAGCCGGGCACCTATGGAGTCTTCTAGACACCCCTTGCCTGTGCGGGAGGCCCTTGGCCTCACCCAGGACTCCTGGCGTTGGGAGGACAGTCCACTTAGGCCGGGAGCCTTACCCTGTGGCTGCCCCCAAGCAATCTGGGTTAGACCCTCACCCTGGTGACGGGACGTGAGGTCCCCAACTGCAGTTGGGACGCAGCTCCCTGTGCACTTGCTCTCTCCCCAGCTCCTGCAGCGGCAGGGCACCCAGCTCCTGGCACAGAGACTCGGCCGGGCCTGCTTCCGCCAATGGAGACAGCAGGTGGGAGTCCCTGAGATGTCCCTTTCCCGCTTCCCTCCTGCTGGCTCATGAGGTCCAGGCTGGGGGTGACCTTCAGCCCCCACCTCCGGTTCAGTGTTGTCCGTATCACCCTGTCCTGGGGCACCTCCCTCTCCCCCTCTAGGCCCTTCTGGGCACCAGCTTCCTCCCATCTGCGACCTGTGTGAGGCCAGCCACTTCAGTGCCCAGTTTAGCTTTCTAGTGTCATGTTAAAAAGTACATCAGTGTAATGTCTAAAATTAATATGAAATCCATGTTATGTTTTTGATGAGGCCTTGATAAAAAGCCTGGGGGGATCACGCACATCACACATGACAGCGCCCTCGGCCCAGCCCTTCTCCCCGCTCCCGGGCCTCCCACCCCCAGCCCGCTGTCGCCACGCGCCCCCCCTGCAGGAGCCTTTCTCCTAAAGGCCCTTCCTCTGTCCACAGATCAGCGTGTGGATCCCTCTTGGTGGAGGGAGGGGATTATTGATGAGCCAGGCAGTTAGCCCCGGCCCTGTGCTCAGGACGGTCTCCCTGAAGAGGTGACAGGGAAGTAACTAGTCTCTCTGGCCCTAGCTGGCGGCCAGGAGGTGGGAGCAGCAGGCTACGGCGCGCGCCCTGTGGTTCTGGGCCTTCTCGCTGCAGGCAAAGGTAACGCGATCTGCATGTTGCTGCTACTGCCGGGGTGAGCCATGGGCAGAGCCCCTGTGGGAGCCCAAGCAGGCAGGCCCGGCTCACTCCTGCCCTCCCTGGAGGCGTGGACCGCGTGGCTGGGCTTCGTGCAGGCGAGGAGGAGGAAGAAGGCGCGGCTGGAGCAGGCGGTGCAGGCCTACCACCGGCAGCTCCTCTGGGAGGGCGCCACGCGCCTCCTGCGCTTCTCAGCGGGCATGAAGGCCTCCCGGCAGCAGCTGCAGGCCCAGCAGCAGGTCCAGGTAGGCCTGGGGTGCCCACCCTGCCTGTGGGGAGCGGGCGGGGTCCGGCGACAGCTGACGAGGGGCCCTGTCACAGGCAGCCCACAAGCTCCACCATGCAGTCCGCCGCTGCGCCACACTCTGGAAACAGAAGGTGCTGGGCTGCGGCAGGGAGCCCCAGCCCCCAGCACCCGTCGCACCCAGCAGGAGAGTGACATTTGAGGGTCTCCTTCTCGACCAAGCTGTTGCTGGGGCTGGGGATGCCACCAGGGAGACCAAGAAGCCACGAGCTCCTCAGCCTCAGGGAGCCCTGAGCAGCCTGGCCCTTGCCACGGGGGAGCCACACCTCCGTGAGCTGTGAGTCGCCCTTCCTCACCTCCTCCTCCTCCTCCTCCTTCCTCCCACCTGGGACAAAAGCTTGGATGGTACAGCAGGGAGGAAAGCCCAGTCCTGACGGGATGGACGGGCCAGGGATGGCCTTGTCACAGCTGAGCAGATCCCGCCCCTCCCGGGGCAGGGGGAGAATGGAGTGGGGTTTCCAGACCCTCTTTCTCCTTCGCCTGCCAAGGCTCAGGAAGTGGGTGTCCCTTCCTCTGCCACACCTTCCTGCCCTCTCCCATCTGTCCTACTGCTGAGACAGTCTTTTCAAAGTGATACATGCAGATGACAAAAGGAATAAGCAGTAGGCAGCTGTTTCCCTCTTCCTTACAGCCAAGACACTGGCTCCCTGTCAGAAACCCCTCTTTTTGTGACCTGGCACTTGCCCTTCTTCCCCTACCCCCAGTGGTCTCCCCAAACCCTACACCTAACCCCACCCTGTGCTGGGGCAGCTGGCAGCCCCCAGAGTGACCAGCTCGGGGAGAGATCACGGCGGGTGCACCGGCCCAGGACCCAGTCCCTGCTCTGCCCTGTACTGCCCGACCTCGACAGGAGCCCGGGCGGCTCAGAGGCTGCTCCCCGGTGACAGGGACCACACCTTCATTGCCAGGGCTGCCGCACAGGTCAAAAGACAACCTGGGTGAAGCAGCCCTGTGGCATCAGGCACCCTCCGTGGCCCAGGTCCGCCCCAGCTTGCTGACCTTGGGCAGGAGCTGCACCTCCTCTGGCCTTCAGGCTCCTTGTAAAACTGGAGGGTGGGACTGGACGGCCCCCACCCACAGAGATCTTGGGCCTCTGCAGCCCTGGTCAACCTAAAGGGGCAGACCCTGTGCTTCCGCCCAGCAGTGCTGCCTGCTCAGCGAGGAAGCAGCCGCGACGCCCGCACTTTCTGCTGGAGCCCGTGCAGAGCCAGTGGTCGTCCCTGGGGTGCGGCCCCCTCCAGAGGCAGGGGTAGGCTGTGTGGTCATGGGCCCCCAAAGCAGCTGGCACCTCCATCTGGGACCTGTGTTTTGGTGGCCCTAGGGTGGGTGGCCCCTTTCCTTCCTGTTCCTTGGTCCCAGAGAAGGGTCCACGTCCTGACCAGGCTCCTTCCTGCCTTCCCTCTGCTCAGGCCTGAAAAGCTGCAGGAGTGTGGCCGGAGCACGACCCAACCCGCCGGCCCTTCCCTGCTGAGGGCCGCCCTGGCAGAGGCCCCAAGAGCACTGGTCCCCAGCAGCCCCCTGTCTGGGGCCCTATCAGGCGCCCCTGGCCCAAAGCTGCCCCCCATGGCAAGTACAGGCCCGGAGCTGCTGCTGCTGCCTCCTTCCTCCTTCATGCCCCATGGGGCGGAAGCACCAGCCCGGGTGAGTCATGCTCTAGCAGGTCTGGCCTGGGGTGCCCTTTCTGGTGCACTCGGCTCTGTAGCCACAGCTGTACTCGTGGTTTCTGGAACACCTTGGCATGGGAAGACATGCAGGCCACTGATCCGGTCAAGTGTAGGTGCCCACTGCACGCGCCAGGTGCGAGGGACACAGCCTGCTGAGCCCCTGCCCTCGTGTAGCTTACGGCGTAGGCAGAGACAATCGAAAGAAAACCGCTGTGTGCAGACCGGTGAGGTGACTGCAGGTCACATAGGCTCATGCAGGCCTGGGGAGAAGTTTGGAATCTGAGTAGGAAATCGTGGACGTTCTAGCAGGGAGCACCGAGCCTGGTTTCTAACACGGGCTCATGCCCTGTGCGCGCCGGTGGCTGCGGAGGTGGACAGGCACTGCTGGCGGCGACGCAGCAGGACACGCTCTGATGGGTTTGCAGAGAATGAGGGGAGGGAGGGATCGAGGATGACTCTTGGGTTTCTGGCTTGAATAACTTTGGGAACGATGAGTTCTTTTACAGAAAGAAGGAAAGGTGGGGTGGGGACAGGTTTCAGGCAAAGTACAGAGCCCATTTTGAACCTGTCAGATTTGAGAGAAAGCAGTGGCATTGAGTCTGGCCCTCGGGGAAAAAGTAGGGCCAGAGGCGTAGACAGAATCCTCAGCATAGGTTGAAGGTTAAACCCCCTGGGAACCGATGAGCTCACCTGGGAGGAACGTATGGAGGGAACCGATGAGCTCACCTGGGAGGAACGTATGGAGGGAGAACAGAGGGGCCAAGGCTCCCTGGGGAGGAGCCTGGGCAGGGACGGGTGGTTAGAGCTCAGTAATGGAGGTGACGGCCACGGTCGGGCCACCCGAAACGCTGGGGCCTGAAAGGGTGGGGGCAGGAAGGTGGCGTTCCTGGAGTGTTTGGCCACGTGGGGCCACACACCCTGGCTAGAGTGGGGTTGAGCGGGGTCTGTTCCTGCCATTGGCGGTGCCAGGCTGTGTGGTCTCCCCAGGGGAGGGCTGCAGGGGTGGTGGCTGCAGGACAGCGGGAACAGTTGCCTCTGCCTGACCTCTTTGCTCACTAAAGTCCAAGCTCAGCAAGGTCCTGAGCTCAGAGGAGGGGGTGGGGGGCTCAGGAAGGCCTGGAACAGCCCCCAGAGCAGGTGGGCTGCTCCTTGGGTTGCTTCAGTGGGTGCCCAGGAAGCCCAGCTCCGGGGGCTGGGGCCTGGTATGTGGGCAGGTGGTGACACAGAAGGTGACGAGGACTCGGTGCCCCTCTCCCGGGGCTTCCTCCTGGCTTCTCTGCTCAGTGTCAATCCTTCCTTCCTTTACAGGTGTCAGCTCTGCCGACCACCCCCAAGCTGAAGCCCCAGGCCCCCCCATCCCCGGCCTGTGTCCCTGACCCCTATCTGCTCCTCCCTGGGGACTTCACAGACACCAGGGCTGGGCCTGGCTCTGAAACTGCAGGTGTGTGGCTGGGGCCTGTCAGGGCAGTGAATCCCCAGGTCCCAGAGGGGAAGATGGTCAAGCTCGGTATCCTGTTGCTGTAGGCTGTGTGGACCTGGAGGCTGAGCTTGAGGGGATCCAGCAGCAGTTACAGCACTACCAGGCCACCAAGCAGAACCTCTGGTAAGGCCCGGGAATGGTCCGTGTACCTGGCAACATGCTGACAGGTGTTACCTGGAAAGGCGGGGGTTCCATCTCCCCTGAGCCAGCTGCCAGGATCCTGGGGGTGGGCCACCAGGTGGGGACTGGAGCCCTCCACTTCGTCACCTTTGTCCTGCTCAGTCCTGCGTAGCAAGGCCCACCTGGGACAGAGGCCCTGCTTTCGATGGGGGCGGTGAAAAAGCAAAACTATAAAAACCTCATCAGGTCATGCTACCTACCCAGTGATCATAATGCCAATGTTAAAAGGTGTGGAGAAGACAGGCCCGGGCTCCTAGCTGCAGCGGTGGTCTGGGGGCCATCGGCATGTAGCAGCCTCGGAAAATCGAGAAAACAGACTGGTCCCCTCAGCCCCAGCTCTGCACAGGGGAGGGGGGATAGGAGGGTGCTTTCACCTGGGCTCGCCTGAGTTGCTGTTCGCTGGGGAGGTGAAGGAGGCGGGGGGAGGAATGGGAATTCATGCCTGCAGCTCAGGGCACCCTGCCCGACAGACCCTTCTCTCTCCACCCCTCAGGTCCTGTCAGCGGCAAGCGCGCAGCCTGCGCAGGTGGCTGGAGCTGAGCCGAGAGGAGCCCAGGCCTGAGGACCAGGAAATGGAGCTGCAGGTGCAGCAAGAGCTCGAGGAGGTGAGGCCCCCGGCCAGGCCCTGTACCCACCTGGCTGTGCTTCCTCTCAGCCCAGACTGTCCCACCCCCAGGTGGAGCTGCAGGTCCAGCAGCTGGTCGAGGAGCTCCAAGCCCAGCGACAGCCCGTCGGCGCCTGTATCACCCGCATCCAGGCCCTGCGGCGCAGCCTGTGCTAGCGTGCTCGCCCCAGGGAGGTAGGAGCTGGGCTTTGGGGGAAGCCTCCGGCCACCTCCAGGAACAGAATGCAAAGCTACACTGAGTTTTGGCTTTTTATTTCAAAATGTTTTGCAATTAAATGAATTACTGTTCAGAAGTCTCCCACTTTTCATACAAAAATACTGTGCTACTGATACAGTTGAAAGAGTTCCATGACTTCTCCTGCAGGAGAAATCCACGGTGTCCCTAGCAGCCATATGAAATCTGGCCCTGTCCTCACCCTCAGGGGCTCCCCACGGCCTGAGTACTCGCTAACTGGGGCAGGGTTTCTAGGCACTGATCCCTCTGCCTCCACCACGGCAGCAACTTCCCACATTCCACGTGGGGCTGGATACAGGGAGGGGGACACGAGCTCTTCCCTGGGCCACCTGCCTGCCACACAGAGAAGCCAGCTCCAGAAGGCCGGTCTACATCGTAAGTCACTGTCCTCAGAAGACAGCAGCAGGTCCAGGGTGATGCGCTCAGCTACAAGTGCAAAGAAAGATTCCGCTTTTTCCAATGAGCCGAATGAAGTAAATTTGGGAAGAAAAAGCAGTTGTCATGAAGGCTGTGTGGCCCCGTGGGGGGGCAGTGTCCACAGTCCGTGCCAAGGAGGCACCTCACCCTGTGCAGGGAGTTAAGGCCAAAAAAAAGCAAAAAGGGCCGACAGAAAATGGCCCAGGTGAGGGAAGCAGCAGCAAGACACTACATGGTTACCAGTCATCGCCTTGAAACGACGGTGGACCGACCGGATGCTCAGCGGGGGGAGGGAACAGCACAGGTTGAGGGCATGGCAGGGGCTCTGACCACCTCATGGGAAGGATCCAGAACCTCTTGTCTGCACCTCTGAGACAGGTGGGAATGGAATCATTCCAGTCCTACCTGGTAAGATCCCCCCACCCGGACGGCCTCGTGGCATTTTGCCTCTAGGAGAGTCAGGTTCTATTCGGAAAAGGCCCTCAGCAGCCACAAAGAGGCTCTAGAGAGAGCCCAGAGGCTCCCCAAAGCGGATTTTCTGTCCTGCTTTCAGCTGGAAGTTGAAGTCTTTGGGGGCCTCGAAGATGAGCACGATGGTGGAGCCCAGGTTGAACTCGCCCAGGTGCTCGCCCTTGCGCATGGGGACGCCTTCCTTGTTGGTGTGCGTCACGAAGCTAAAGTCGTTGTAGGAGCCCTTGCTGTACCGAGGGCTGTTCGTGTGCAGGTCCTGTGGCAGGAGGCCACAGGTCAGTGCCACCTCCACCTGTGCTTGGGTCCTACTCCCTCTGTTGCTTGTTCCCAACACCACCCAACTCAGCTCCAAAAAGGAAGTGGGGATGGCAGCTCAGGGCCAGTAGGGCCTGGTCTAGCGGGATCACACACAGCCGCCACCCGCTGTGAACTGGGCCCAGGAGGACAGGGAGAAACCAGGCCGACCAGCTGTTCTCCCAGCATGAAGGGTGCTGCCAGACTGGGAGCCAGGGGCCATCGGTCAGAAACTGACACCCAAAAAGGCAGCCCCCATGTGCAAGGTGGGCAGCAGGCTCTGTGCACCGGCCCCCTTCCCACATGCTCCGCCCTCCACACGGCCCACCCCAAGCTTGACACTCCCTTTCTGTTCCCGCTCACTCTCTCCTTGGACCATGGTTCCTGGCAGAAGCCAAGTGCCAGGCGGGGAGGTAAATTCCCTCCCTCCCAGCCACCCCCAGTTAAGGTGCAAGGGGCAGCAAAGTGGGAGGGAAGCCTCAGCCGGCAGGGGCGGCCCCTCCTCAGGCCTGGCCAGAGGCGTAACCCTCCCAGAATTAAAAAGTCCTAGTGGATCTGCCACCCAGCAGGCAAGGTGGGTGGACCCAAGAGGTCCAGCCCTTGGGCCTTGGCAGGGCTTGGGGCCAGCTCACCCGGTCAAAGTAGATGCGAATGGAGCCCACGTTGGTGGCCCCCACGGCCGTCAGTGAGAAGAAGCCATGTTTCCAGTCCCCGGTCAGGACTACCCGCTCATTGTGGCAGAAGAGCTCTTTGATCCAGCGAGCCATGCCGGGGTTCACGGACATCAGGGAGCCTGTGGGGGCAGGGACCTCTGCTACTCCCCATTCAGAGCCATAACCCAGAGGGACACATGACCTGTCACCTCAATGT